ACCCTGGATGCTTGTAGTTGTACGAAGAAATACACTGAAAAGCGCAGAACTCTTCATACATACGCAGATACACGTGTTGAAACACGACTCACTACACAAAATGGAGTGGCGGTTGCCATAATATATACGACGAAAACACGAACATCATATTCGGTACAAACCCGAGAGCCAGGAGGTGTTGCTTTCGGCCCGCGAGCTGTTCCACAGGAGCGTCTCTTGCCCTTCCGGGGTCACGTGCCACAGAGTCGGGTCGTCTCGTGCCTCAGATGAGTTGTGAAGGGCGCACTGTTCCTCCGCGTGTTGGCGAAAGTGGAACCTGGAAGTTTCGGTGGAAACAGGTAACATCAGTAGGGAGGTTGCTGGGGTTGGTCGTGACGAACGTCTCTGCGCGATGGCACCCATAAAAGTCGCACACCAGTGTGCGTGTAATCGACACAAACAATGGTGCTGGAGTCATGGCTGCACGATTTGAACCACCGATCATGAAGGAACGCGTACGAGTGAATGGCCGGGCCGCGGGAATGTCAAGCGGGGCGTGAAAACCGGACAATGGTGCATCGGTGCATAACCCTCTCGTCGTGCTGGGAATCTCTCAGGGCCGCAGCCGACCATACCCTTGACGGAGGTTACAAGCGTTGTACACTTTACGATAATGCCCACCTGTCGACAATGTAGCGCGTCAGTAGCCATCCATCATCGGGATGGAGGATGCGGTAGGGTCGCATCCTGCACGCTAGGTCGTAGAACAGCAAGTCCGGCCTGCATCAAGGGTCTGGCCAGATGCTCTCCAGGGCCTCGCAGACGACCACCATACCTTCGTAAGCACAAAGGTTGGAGATTCCCGTGATGATGCCACAGCTTAGACTCCCCACGAGATGGCCATGGTACATGTGTCTTGAAAACATCAACCGTAGTAGGCGCACGTCAGCGGGCTGCGAACAGAGGCGCAGGGTAATGGCATTCGTGTAAGCAGTTCGTATTACGTGGGTGGGTTGAAAACGCTAAAGATATTTCAATTGACTACGGAGATGTGGCGGTGCGGAAAGTGCAGCGTTGAAGCAATCATAGAGTTTCCCTCCGACCCACACAACAGGTGGCTCTTCCCCACGCTAGATGAGGCTTCGCTCGGGGGGTTACATCCCATATGCGCGACGAGGAAGATTAGCTGCCCTGCCACCCCCCCCCCGCCCTCGGTGTTTGCCAGCGAAGTTGGGTTTTCGTCGCTGGCAACGACGTTGTGATACAAGCCGATTACGTCGTGAGCTAGGTGACCCGGCTACAGCTTCCTTTCGCCTCTGATTTTTTGTGCGGTTACCATAATGGTGGTAGAGGGCTAGATGTTGTTGTTGTCTGTTAGAGATCCCCCACTCAGCGCAAAGGGGATGATCGCACCACGTTGTGTGAAATTGGTCAAACACCCTCAATGCAGTTTTACAGTTTGCTTACAACTGTCTCCGGAAGTGGAGGCACAAGAAGAAGCCGAACACCCTTAGCAGGATGCAGCGCACCCTTCATGCGACTCGCCGAATACCTCGCGGTGCCTCGCGCTTCGTGATGTGAGAGCCTGGTCCGGTGAGAACCCGACGTGCTCCGTCCCGGCTTTGTAGAGGTGCGAGGTCAATTGTCTAATGCCAACGGCATGCACGACTATGAGTACAACGAACGGTTGTGCTTACAACCCCCCCCTCTGAATAACTACTTGATCGCTCGGACCTCATCTGCAGTAGAGTAAAGCGAAAGTAGACTGCCATCCGCGTCTTCGTCGTTGTTCACCTTTCGTGCCGTTATCATGCCCGAATGAACATTACCTTTTCGTGTGCTGCCTCTGGTCTGTACAACGTACTCATCCACAACACATGCACGTTGTGACCCCCGACACCTCGTCTGCCCTCATAATTCCTAACGCCAGCGCACTCAGGTGCTTGCCAGTACCAGAGCTAAGACCGCTGCCGCCACGGCGACACCCTGGGTCCCCCTTATGTATGGAGTCCGCGACGTCTTTGGTGATTCGGACGACGACATTGACGACAACCGACCCATCCATCAAGTTGGGGACACGGATGATGACGGCGACGGCGAGGATGGGGCGAACGGCTGCAGCCGCGACGACTCTGACGATAGCGTCGCATGCGTAGATCCGCCTACCCTTTCTGACAAACAGAGGAAGGGAGGCCGCCCGACCCGCAAGGGACAACGGTCGACGTCTCCGCGGGCCGGCGCGGCCGGTTGTCCCGTCGACCTGGCGAGAGAGCAGCGGGGCGAGGAGGGGGCCACGCGGAAGAAAGCGTCCAAGGGCGCGTCGGGGGATCCCCTGGATGTAGATTCGGGAGTGTCGGAGCAGCCGGCGCCTAGGGGCAAGAAGAAGGCATCCGTCAAGACTAGGAAGGCCGGTGGGAAGA